ACTGGCTTTTGCAATATGTTATCTTTTCCACATAAAATGAGGAACCATCATTTTTACAAATGTGAAAATGATAAACACTGCAGAGTTTCAGCATAGCACCTAGAAATAAATACTCTGTCTGACACAATTGTCAAACTCAGATTGAGCTTGAATACTTAGGATCTTTATGGGGAGTAGAGGAATTAAACTGCTTAAGAAAAGGATTTCCAGAAGACAGACAAGTGGGAGAAGCTTTGTATTGTATTAAGGGATCTAAATCTATAGTCAGCCATTTAGGTTGAGCATATCCTAGCCACTGAAGAAGCCTCACTCTTCCTTTCTCCTTTCTTGCTGTCTCTCAGTACTTAATTTCATGTTAAACCTGTGTCTCTAGCTGTTCTTCAAGAGGGAAAATGCAGTTCTAGAGGGCAGGACCATCATCACCATTCAATTGCCCCAGGACTCTGTTGGCAAATCTCCATAGCTGGCAATATTTTGGCCCTTAGGCTGGCTGTTTGTTGGTCATCAGCTGCTGGTAAGAACAGGATTGCATAGTCTACATCCATATCGACAGATGTGTTGGACTCAATATAAAATACCTACTTCCCAGATCTAAGGCTTGTACACTGCAGGGTTCCATAAGGTTTTATTCAGATTTGCATAACTTAGTTTAGTTCAATTTTGCTAAGCTCTGAATCTTTCTCTATTCAGCAAGTATAAAATTCTTACTTTAAGTAAATAGTTTAAGGTAATTTCATTAAGCGATATGGTCTTCAGGCCACAGTCCTCTCTACATCCATAATATATTTCACAGTAGATCAGCTATTAGCATTACCAATGGCTTTTCTTCTAAGGAAGACCAGACTATGACTTACTAGTATCTAAAGCATTATCAGGAACCAGAACCTTCAGGAGATATCTCTCCATTCTGCATGGATTAACAATTGAATCTCTGCATGCTTAGTTCCTTTTTTTTGTTGTTTATGCTTATTCATTTTATATTTTATTATATTATTAATTTTAATTTCATAGTGATATTATTATTATCTTTATTATCTTTATTAATTATTTCTCAGGGACACTATTTCCTTGGCTCAGTTTCCTAGGGTGATTCTCCATTATGAAAACTTTCTATGTAGCTTCAGAAACAGCTGCTCAGCCGTCCTGGGAATTGTAAACATGTTCATGACATCGTAAGGGTACAATAAGAAAAGCTTCCCTCAAGGGATATCTTAAGGGTTGCTAAAAGGGGACAAATATATTTAAGTTCTACCAACTACTGCCTCTGGAGCAGTTTGAGGCAGACAAAACTGAAAAGAAGGACTCCATATGGCCTGAAAGCTACTACTTATGCTTGATTTCCCTTGCATATCCCACACTGTTAGCAGTACCTTTTAATCACACAAGCATACTGCTGCCTTCATAGCCCACTGCTTAAAGAGCACTTGCCATGGTCAGAGGAGGCTGTGCAGTGTGAAGGTGTGCTAAGGTAGAAAATTGCTCTTCTTGGGTTACTCACAGTTGGCCACAGCAGCAACAGCCAAAAAATTATATGTGACCTAAACACTGACTCTGAAGAAAAGCCACTTATACTTTCTGGGGAAAAGAAAAATCATATAAACTGACTGGAATATACATTTTTTTCACTACAATATTGGTTTCAGTGTGGACATTGCATGGAAATTATACCAGCCCAGGAGATGTGACATTGTTAACAAAGAACATGTGTAAGAGAGAAAAATACACCAACACATACATATATACCAGCACTTTTGGCGCCTTTAGCACACTTGAATCCCTGGTTAGGTTTGACTTACAAACACAAAGAACATTACATCTGTTTCAGAAAAAAACACTTATACTTTAGGAAGCCTTCAATAGCTGTTCTTTCTGTTGCATTACAAAAACCTCTCCATTGTATGGATTCTGTGCACATCTATATTTAGCTCTGTTCTGAAACTAGCATCAGGCCTTAATTTGTTATTCAGCCTCAGCAAAACCACAACACCATACAGGTTTCATATACTCCTAGCCACTCTCCATGACATTTACAGTGCATATCAGAATGAACTAGAGCTTACCTTTTAGGTACTGCAAATGAATTATTAGAGCAATGCTCTTACCTGCTTGTCTATCTCCTTCCCCAGCTGAGATGACTTCATGGATGTATCTCTTCTGATCCATTCAAGCATCCAGTCAAAAAGATTAAACCACAGCTAACCTGGCTTTGAATTCAAAATGAAATACAAGAAGAGAGAGGAGGCCCCTTCAGCTGGGAAAAAACAGCACAGCTTCTGCTGGCTGCCTCCTAGCTGAAGCTCACATCTGCTACAGCATTTTTTTATTTTTTTTTCCCACTCTGCCTCATTAGCCAAGTCTATGCAGGTGGTTCTGATCTCAGCCAGGAAGGGCAAAAACTAACATCACTGCTTCCAAACTTAGACCAGCAACTGCTGCAAATGCAGTGCCAAGACTGACTTCCAACTGCTGCCTTTCTCCAGTAGTCAGCAGTGGAGTAACAAGAAGTGTCTACCTGGGTAGCCACCAGTCTCCCTGGGGAGTTGCTATATATGAATTTTTCAGTGCTACACTGGAACAGAGAAGATGAGGAACATAGGGGTCTTGACTGGGAAGGAGTGGACATGCCTGGCATGTCCATAAACTCACTGGGCCTAAGACAAAGACAGGAGTCTAAGTCACACATTCTGTGGAGTTAAGCAAAGGTATTCTTCCACTTTGAGACACACTTAATTTTCTTTTTTTTATTGTTTTGGGGTTTTTTTTCTTGCTTTGGTTTGGTTTGGGAAATGAAGCAAAAAAATCATTCTGTATAATTCCTGACACATCACTCAGTCCTAGTTCTGGCCTCTTCAAAATCCCATGTCTTTTCTCTCCCTTTCTGTGGTTACAATATATTCCATTTGCATTTCTTTCATTCGGAATCTCTTTCATTTTGTTAGGGTTCTGTTGTCCACAGCTATTCCTCTATCTCCTTAGTTCAGACAAACCTGGCAAATTTGCAACTATATAAAAATAATCCACATCAGATCTAGTATATTATTTATTGCTCCCTGTTTCGGACCACAGCATTTTTGTGCTGAGAGCTCTGTAATAATTCAACTCCACTTGAGCACTCAGGAAAGAGACTCATCTCTTATCCCACCTTTCTCTGGAGAAAAAAACAATGTGCAAGAAATAGCCAATATTTATTGACACTCCAGTTGTGCATAAATTACCTATTCTGATGCTTCTTAGTTTTCCTTCCTAATTAGTTTTGAAAGAAGAGTATAGGACTCTATAAGAAGAAAAATTTGCATACTGAACTGTAACTCTTGCTGATGTGATGCCAAATAAAATGGCTTTGCAAGAGACCTAGATTTGGTTGATACATTTCTGTCATTCCTTACCACCATGATTTACTGTGACGTATGAGAGAGAGACTGCTGCTGTCCAAGGCTGCTGAATTAACCGAATAAATGTCACAAAAAAGAAATCTTCAGGGTAAGGACCAGTTTGAATTAAGAATATGATTCTTAAAAAGGTGAGTCAGTGCAGAACTTCTAGTTACACGGGGTGAAATGAGCTGCTAAGTAAAAGAATGTCTCATGTGGATATCCTTTTAAAGATCCTGGAAGAGAAATGTAAGGTAAAATCCTGGCCTTTTCTGAAGTAAACAACAAAATTCCCATTCACTTTTTTAGACCAGGACTTCATCTCCCAGTTGAAGCAGAATCTGTTTTGAAGCTGGGGCAGCAGATGGTTGAGCCAGGATTTGGGACACAGATTTCAGGAGTGTAGATAGGATTTAGAAAAAACTGGCAATTAGGAATGGAAGTAATAATTGAGCCAGCAGGTATAAAACTCCTGAGATATATCATGGATAAGCTCATAAATAAGTCCATTACATAAATTTTGTTAATATGATAAATATATAAAGCACAATTTGCTATTAAATGGCTTTTTGACAAATAAAAATGGATTAGGAAAATACCTATCCAAAACTACTGGAAAACATAACCAAAAAGCCTCATATCACCTAAGAAATAAATAACTATATAGCTTTCCATGTTAAACTTAGAATTGGGAAATGCTTTAATTCAATTAAAGAATAAATCTAAGATATGTATCTTTCTTGCTGCATTTCTTTCACATATACACAATTTACAGTAACAGCATTGTCTTCAGCACCATTCATATGTGACTAATATGAGTATTGAGCAGAATTAGAAAATATAATGAGACCAGGTTGAGATCTGTGAAATAATCGACTGTTTACAGGGTTAAAAAAAAAAAATCTGTATAAGAGAAAAAAAATGTTTTATGGCATTTCTATGAGCAAACAATATTTTTTTGTTGTTGTTCTGGTTTGGTTAAATCAGTGGAAGTTGTTTGATGTTCAGTATCTGGAAAAATTAGGCCATTTAATCTGCTTCCTAAAGTTGCCTAATCTCAAATCCTCAATTTCTGTTTCAATCTTAGTCATTGTACTTTTGGAGCTGGAACAGTTTGAATGAGGATAGAGAGATTTAGCAGAATCTCATATTGATAACCTAATGCCCCCACTGATCCCACTATATTTTTCCCAAATTCATTGGATTTAAAAAAAAAAAAAAAAATTAATCTTAAAATTGAACCAAAATATAAAGGAGATATTATACAATGGGAGAGGAAGCCTTTTCGTTGCATACAGCAGTATTTCCAAACAGTACATGAAAAAACAAGTGTGATGACACAGAGGAACTTTCCTATATCATAATGAATTGTATTTTGTTTTTTATAAGGGAAGAAGAGTTCCAGAGGTTATCGGATTTTTAAATTTTCATTTTTTTTCTGTCTCCTTTCTTTCCAGTAGATACTCTTGTTATAATGCATATTAAAAATCACTGAAGATAAATCAAAACATTCATCTTTCATTAGAGAACAAATATATTTGACAGTGTAAATTTTTTAGAGCGTGCACTAGATGTTGACAATAAAGAACATTCTATTTCTATTGAATATTTCTTCTTTGTTATAAAAAGGAAAGTTTACATGTATTGAAGTCCGATTTCACCTTGAGAGGCAGATGGGATATTATCTCATCCAGATGTACATTCCAAGTCTCTTGATCGTCATTCTCTCCTGGGTGTCATTTTGGATCAATATGGATGCAGCTCCAGCCAGAGTGGCTTTAGGCATAACAACTGTACTGACCATGACAACACAAAGCTCAGGTTCACGAGCATCTCTTCCAAAGGTAGGCAGAATTTCCTTTGTTTGTGTGACATTAATACAAAGTTATAACGCCATGTGACAAATAAACACCTTCAGCCAACCTTATATATGTTTTAATTATTAGCATAAGCATCTTCTAAAGCAGATAAGTAACTTTGAAACATTTGAGTCACCAATAAAATATATCTATTTCTCCTCTGTCTCAACTGTTTAGCCAACCACATATCTACTAAATTCCATAAACCTTAGCAAGTGATGAAAGCAATGTTATTCAGAACTACATAAATGCTGCTTAGCAATTGACTAGTTCGTCCTTTTCCAGATCCCAGTATCTGATGACATGATAGCAAAATATGACTGAATTTCTAAAGGTCATAGATTCCAGCCTGTTCTCAGTTATATTCCTTTACCAAAACCTGCCTACATTATGAACTAACTCACTAGTTACAAACATATTTACATTAAAATGTAGAAAAATGTGAAGCTAAATATCTCCAATTGATTGTATAAAGAATGCTTCACTACACAGTGTAAATAGCTTACATATTTTTATGATTCACTATTTAAGTTTTCTGACTTGTCATTGCTTTAGAGATTTTCTTTTTCATTTTAAGGGTTATTCCTTGACCATCTTCACATGCCATTACAGTTAATAGAAATAAAATTTATACAATAAAAATACACAACAGCCATTTCTGTATTAGTTTTAACATGGTATTTTTTAGGCTGGCTAATTATATATTTTTCTAAGTGAAACAGCTACCCTAACAGAGGTGAGTGTGGTTTGTGCCTCAAATATACGGATCCAAATGCATCCAAATGTAGCATCATAAGAAAATGGGATGCTATAAAAACTCAGAAAAGCGAGAATGTAAGAGGTTACTAAAGAGACCTACAGATGGTTTTTGTCTCATTTTTGAGTCCTGAAGCTAGGTATGAAAAAGACCTTGTAAATCTGCACACAGAGAGGAAACAGGTCCTACTTTCCTAGTTCAGGTTATGTCCTGCAGCTAAACTTGGCAGTAAAGGATTGCAGTGAGTTCATCTATTCTGTAGTTGATTTTCAGTACTTCCATGGTGTCAAAATTACAGCACTAATTTGAACCTCTATCTTTGGTTTACAATGCCTATATTAGCAAACAATTAACATATCAAAGTCTATCTCTGTCTATCTCCCTTCTTCTGTCTAATTGTTATTCCAGGAACTTTAAATCAGATCTATTACAATACAAGAATATCCACTGGTCCCACTGTAAACTATTCTCTGGTTCCTCAGTATCATTCACAGATCTCAGTGGGACAAATGGAGGAAGAGCTTGTGCTTCTTGTGGATTATTTGGTTTGTGATAAAATACACAGTACACTATGAGGAACTGTTAATGACGCAAATGCATTTTGTGAAAGACTACATTTTAAAAAATAATATTTAATGCTTATAGATTAAATTGTTGCCCATCTTATTATTTAGCTTTATATTAATTTTTGTTTAATAAAAGTAGTGTTGGGATGTAGAGATATTAATGCACTTCCTCCTGACATGAAATACTAAACTTCACATCTGTGGTTTTAACAGTGTAGTCTTCTGCTCTGTTCTCTCCATAGGTGTCATATGTCAAAGCAATTGACATCTGGATGGCTGTGTGTCTGCTTTTTGTATTTTCTGCACTTTTGGAGTATGCAGCTGTAAACTTTGTGTCAAGGCAGCATAAAGAACTTCTGCGATTCCGCCGCAAGAGGAAGAAGAACAAGGTAAAAGTAACAGTATTCACAACTCTGAAGAGAGTCTGAGATTGATTTATGCCAGGATATAGGGTTAATTTGGTAAATATGCTGCAGCTTAAAGTGGCAATATAAATAAAATGGCAGCACAGAATGAAATTCACTATAGGCAGAGGGTCACTACAAGGACTATGCACTGCATAAATCCAACTTGAATTCTCCAAAGAGGGATTAAGCGGGATTTAAATGAGGCATGGGCCATGAGGGAGCCATCTGCACAAGCATGAATTTCACTCTGTTAGAGGAGTTAGATTATACTTCAGTGGATGAATGTTACTTGTACATGCAGTAGTTTATACTACATCAAGATTCAACAAATAGTGTTTCCTAAATTCATTCTGGTATTCAGTTCAAAACCTTAACAGCTGTGTTTCATGTAAATATTTTTTAATACCAAAAATACTTATTCAATTAATATTACTTGTGGAAGAACAAATATTTTACTTTAAGAGGCTGAGACATTTGGGTTTATTTTTCATTCTGTCATGTTAATTTAGTGTCAATTGTTCATACGACTAGTAAGAAACTTTAATACAGCAATGGTTATTAATATTTGTTTTATAGCTGAAGCTGTCTAGACTGCCACTAAAATAAGTCACTACCAATGTGTAAATTCAAATAGCTAAGGCTACAGGTTTGAATTCTGAAGTCCACAGTTAAGGCATGCAATAAGCAAAATTTCTTACAATAATATGTAACTCCTACTTCTGATTTTTCAAAGAGTAAATATTTCTCCAGCCTACTCATTAAATGAGTACCCACTACTAATGTAATGAAAAGCCTTCCTATTGACTTTCAGTCACTTGCCTAGATGATTACTGTGAATGAAAGTCTGACCGTAGCAACATGACTCATTTCAGCCATCTTTTGTTCCTGAAGATTTACTTCAATTTACTGCTTACATCACAAGGAAAAGACATTTTACAGGTTGTTACCCTTTTACTTAGAAGATACTGAAAATCTGTAATCCTGTAAAGCCTACCTAAGCAGTCTCTGCTAGCAAGACTCCATATTAAAAGGCAGGCTGGCTAGTCAAATGAAAATGACATTTTGATACATTTGCCTGTTTCTGTGTCCTAGACTTCTTCAGGTACAGAGAGAAACTCATGTACTGTAGCCTAGAGGATGATTCAGACTCATGTACCGGCTTTCAACATTTGTCCCTGTGAAAAATGTGCTTTTTTCTTTTCACTGACAGTAGCAGAAAAAAATGCTCTCTGAGACACACAGGAGGAAAGCAGCATTTTGTGACAGGCTGCTTGTTTTTGAAATATGGCAGCTCTCTGAAAGCTGCTTAAAGGTTTGGAATGTGGAGAATGGGATGGGCAGAGACGGATTACCAGACAGGGGGCAGGTGAGCCACAACAAATACATCATGTATCAAATACAAACAACAGTGGAAAGTGATATATTATGTGACTATACTTTTAGTCCATTCTTTTTTTTCACCCTGTATTATAATGTCTTCTGGATCTCAGGCAAATTTACCGTATTCAACGTTAGTTATATCTTTTCAGTTCCTTAAATACATGTCAATTGTTATAACCACAGGGTTAGAAACTGACAGGTAATATTACCTTCCTTCCTCAGAACCAAACCAAATTTCTTTCCAGCCCCCTCTTAGCAAGAAATCAAGCTCAGCAAAGACACTTCTTCAGCAATCATAATCAAACAAATTTCAACTTAGAGGTATGTGAGGAATGATCACCTATATACAAAGCACTTTTAAGGGAAGCCCACTTAACAAAAAAGTATCCACTTGAACCGTCTCGTTGACTTAAGTGTTTTGCTGGATCAGTGCTTGACGTCGTGGTATTTTTAAATTCATGCTTAAAAGTAATTTTTCTAATTTTACACTTCATTAAACAGTCTTCTAGCTTCAGGTAGTTGTCTGCTAGGTTCTCATAAAAAAGAGACTGCAGAGTCTATAATAAAGTATCAAGTACTTCCCATAGATTCTGAAGTATGAAGACACACATTTCAATGCTTTTCTTCATAACACACCCAGGTGAGGTTATTAACTATATTTGGGAGTATATCACAGAATCACAGAATGGCAGGGGTT